GAATCATCGTATCTCAGGTCGTTTCCTCAGCTTGGATATTGTCGTCTGGTGGTATATTGAGGCAGATTTATTATGCCATAAAAACCCGTTTCTTTCATTTAACGTCCCAACCTTCCTGATAAAGAAATCGGTGGTGTGTGTGGAGAAACTTGCTGCATTGAAGCGTATTGTGTGGGGCCAAGCTGGTGGGAATGCTTGCTGGCTATGACATAATTGTGGTGGTGTCACACATTGATTTTTGTATTTAACTAATTTTTTTTTTATATTTACCACTATTTTTATTTTATTTATTTTTGTTGTCATATTTTGTTCTTCAATCATCATCATCATCATTGTTATTATTATTATTGTTATTATTATTAGTTGTAGAGGTATTTATGTTTATTTGAATTTAATGTTTTTGTTTGATATACTTTTCGGGGGGGGGGGGGTGTTGTAAACTGTGGTACCTTCACTGTCACCAAGGGCGTAATAACTGATCGTATGAGCCTCTGCCTGCCCGCCCATCTACCTGTCTGTCCGCCCGCCCGCCTGCCCTCATTTCCACACCACCTGGAAATATTGCCAGCGTCTATTACATCGTTGGATTACCTGGTCACATTTTCAAGCCGTTTGATTGATTGTTACATAGTGAGGACTACTAATGTGTTTCATAGACGCAACATTAATTTTTAGTGTTTCTGGTGGTAGTCGGCGGTGGAGGACAGCGTGCTTTCAAGAACATTTTTGGTATTATCATCAATCTTCTGATATGTTGTGAGTGTCTGCTAAGAGCCGACCGTGTTTGTCTTGGATAGAAAATGCAGGTAATAAAGGCATTTGTTTGGCTCACCGGCTGGGATTACCTTAAGTATTCCTTGATGCCTCAGGAGTCAGGCAACAGCAGGGTTATTTATGATCTTGGGTAACGCGAATTCGATTCTCGTCAAGAACCATTTGGGAATAATATCTTGAACGTTTTATTGTCCGTATTTTCCCTGGTGTTTTAGGTGTGTTTGTTATCTGAAATATTTTAATACAATGTGTCCTAAATAATGTCGTCTGTGTAGTATTTTTATTATGCCACAGAAATATAAGCTGAGGCATTAATACTCGTGTTTATCTTTAATATTTTAAGACATCAACAAAAACTAAGATGTTTATTGTGGCGTTAAGCTGTTAACACTTATTGATGGCAACTGGAGAGTGTCCTGAGTCATGGCTTACCTGTGTGTGTGTGTGTGTGTGTGTGTGTGTGATCTGACCTGTTTTGGGGTAGGTATACACTCGCTACAGTATCAGGAAGGTGGGGTCCGATGGATCTCAAAACGAACACTGTGACTCCTGTTGTCGCGGTAGGGTTTGCCAACATCCTTCGTTCGTTATGTCATGTTGTCTAGGAAAAAAAAATACAGATACTTTTTGTTGCGAGTTTGTAGCGAGTGTAGTACATATTAGTCTTGGTGGTACTCGCCTCCTCTCAGACCATCCTCAGTATCGCCAGGGGAAGATACTAATAGTCGTCCAGTGCAGAGTGACTTCAATGTCGGTTCTGGGCTCAAACAAGAATCGGAACCGGTATTAATAAGAGTCGGAGTTTTATCTCTGGCCTCAAGCACTGTCATTTATCCGACACCATTTAATTTATCTTTGCACGTATCGCGGTGCTTTGTGTGTGTGTGTGTGTGTGTGTGTGTGTGTGTGTGTGTGTGTGTGTAAGAAACGTGTCGACATGTTTTATGGTGTGAGCGAGGCGAAGAGAAATGCACTGTCTTGGGCCTCTTTACTGTCGGCCTTAAAAAAGTTGACTGTAGGCCATAAAGAGTGTTGACTGTAGGTCTTAAAGGGTTGACTGTAGGTGAGGGGGGGGGGGTGTTGCAAGCATTAGTCAGCGTGTCCCTCAAGTTTGTTTCCCGGACCACCCAGGCTAAATGACTGAAGGAGGGAGGAAGAACATAGTTGGAGGAGTGTTAGGGGTCACTGACTGAATTAATCAGGGCAAATTGCGGAAAGTTGGATCAAATTATCACCGGCAGAGGTCAAGGTGAATGGTGTACCAGGGCGGTGATCGGCTGCTAGTGAGGCAAGGGCGTGTTGGTGCTGGGACAGTGATGCTGCCGTGTCTTATGGTTTAAATTGATGATAGCTGTGTCGGTAGCGTCTCGTTGCCCAATTTAACACTAATAACACTAACCGACCATATTCCCATATAGAGTGTTGCTGGACTTGGTCGCGAAATTAAATTAATACAGAAATAGATTTGACTTCACCCGGAACCCTCGTTAAGGGAGCGGAGGCTTCTATACTCTTCATACTAGTGTTTATCTTCCCCGATATTCCTTTCTGGTAAATATTTGGGAGGGCGAGCAAGAGGATTCTCCAGTATAATAATAATAATAATAATGTTCTCAGAACTGATATCATGGCCGTGTACCCGTTCCCCTCTCTGCCTAAAATGGTGGCACACGTCTTTATATTTTATCACCACCACCACCACCACCACCAGACCACAGGTGGTTAAAGCCATCCAGATACAAGTATTCAGTTTAGTGTATTGAGCGCCTCCAGTGTTCCTTTTTTTTTTATTATTATTTATTGGGCACTCCCCTACATCCTTGTGTAAGGTGAAGCGCAGAAGCGTTTACAGCGCCCAACAGGGAAGCATGCTAAGTTCATGCTTGCCTTTATGTCTCATGAGTTAAGGGCGTAGAAGCCTTCATGGTTTACAGCGGCGTTTCTTAACCTTTCCCGACCTCAGCACCCGCTGTAGCCAGGTCTACTGTAGGCAGTACAGCACCCCCTTCATCTGGTTGTAGAGATTACAGTTGTTACAGAGCTATGAAGAGTAAGTAAAGTACTGCTTGATAATTTACTTTGTTCATTCTCCAAAAATAAGGCGTTTCACAACACCCCTTAAAATCTATTTCAGCATCCCCTGTGGGTTTACAGTATAGTTGTCAACACCGGAGTCTGAAGTTTAACATGGCGGCGTCTAGAGAGGTGTGAACTCTGTTATGGTTCATAGTTTTGTATTTTTAAGCTAACACAAAAGCCAACATTGTTATACTTGTCAGTCCGCCCTTGTGACGCCCTCCTCTGTGCCTGTTGGAGACACAAAACACCTTGACGGCAGCTCTCATCCTTACTCTGAGGCAATGGTTCTCGCGGCAGCTGGCTGTTGTATACAGTACTATCTGACGGTGAGACACAGGCCTACAAAAACAATAACCACTTTACACCGGCCAGTGAACACCCCAGTGCTGTGTAATATTCTTATTGTTCTGGCGGGAACACCTAGAGGGTTTCTGCCACATATTGGTTGAGTTTTACCCCCAGTGGGATACATGGATATACATGTTAGGGCAGCACCGTCACCTGTCAGTGTAATAGCGCACAGTTTTGGTTGGTCTCGCCGACTAATGCTGGACCTGCTTGTTGCTCGGTTTAATATTCATCCCCGGCCGGTTTGCTGGGTGTGTTTTGCCAAGTATGTTTTACTAAACCATGTAATTTATTCTTCAGGTAATTGACAGGTGCAGCGCCTGCACTCTCAAAACTTCTCATATTGAATTTCTACCTTAAAAGGAGACACGAGGGTGTCCTAATAGGTAATTGACGAGCCACGACCTGGAGCTTCAAAAGTTCATAGGGTTAATGTCCCTTTAATGGGAGATATGAGAACCATCTCACTGACTCCGGTATGCTGCCACACGTAGTTGGGGGCCATTATTGCACTGACACCGCCGTCAGTAGATGCTTTCCCTCATCCTCAGTATAAGGGAAGAGGGGGATTTGGGGATCCTGACCTTGTCAACGTTGAGTAGGGAGCTACCTGCCCAGGTTAGGATCTTTTTGGGGTTAAAACTCCGTTTTTAACCAGAAAACCAATTTTTGTAAGGTGAACAGAGCAACTTTAAAGAAAAGATCTTTTTTGGGTAAAGGCCCATGAGGTAAAAATGTGTCTTTTAATATATTCGAATTGTTCTCATTTTAAGATTGTGTGTTTATTTTAACTTAATTTATGGTATTATCATAAACCAACATAAAGTGGGTTGTGAACATGTATAATTCATGACATTTAGAATCTCGAGGTTAATTAAAATTATGAGATTCATTAACGGTTTATTAGAACTTCAAGTGACATTTGTGTAGTAAGTATCTTGGGGTGAAAATCCTTTAAAGACATTGTTTGTCAAGAGATAAACTGTTTTCATCCTTACAGGACTAAACCACAAGGGTGACTGTTAACAACACTCAATGGCTGGGTGCCTTACTGCCTTGTGTCTCCCAAGTGGAAAGGTGGACTCAAGGCAGTCTCTCTCTCTCTCTCTCTCTCTCTCTCTCTCTCTCTCTCTCTCTCTCTCTCAGGTGACGGTATGAGTGTAATTTATGGGTGTAGATGCTAGAGAGTGTGTAGTGGTGTAGCTAGTGTAAGGTGTAGTGAGTATTTATGTGTGAGCTTACGAGTGTAGTGGGTGTAGTGTTAAGTATGTGGTGACCGTCCTTGTATCCTGCGGCACTAACGAAGACCCAAGTATGATGATAATTAGCACGGTAGCTACTAATTGGTAGGTCTCGGGAGGGTTAAATCTTGCCAGGCAGTACAGCAGCCTCTCACTCACCACCAGATTAGGTCCGTTGTTTTAGTTTGGTTTTCTGAATGGTACTGAGTGAATGTATCGAGGTAAGGTGGGGTGTTAGCTCAGGTTAAACAATTAGGGTCATTCTTACGTCATCTGGTACGGGAAATATTCGTCGTATGAACCTTTGTGGATCTTTAACACGTTGTATCTGACTCTCCCATCTTGACGCTCACCCAAACCAATCTTCATGCACAGTAATTTGACATTATAAAATGAGGAAAATCTCTGACTGGACCAACAGTATATCTTTGACGGAGATAATGGAGGTAAACTTTAATTTGGGTAATATATTGTCCAGGCCATTTTGAGTATATCATTATTAGGGTGATAATGACGTCGACAACACCTTGACGTTAGCTTATTATTAAACCCGTCTTGATGAGTGGGTGTGCCCTGGTGGTGGCTGAAGGTGTGTACGGTAAGGTGCCCCTGCTTGTGGTGTGGACGATGGGTGTTCCAGTGTGGGTGTAAGTTGTGCAAGGGAATAATTATGGTGTGTTTGGTGCCTGTGGTCGGGTGTAGGGTTACCGGTGGTGGGGGTAGGGTGACCGCATGGTGGTTGAGGGGTAACTGGGTGACGGTCAACCATGAAGGGACTTGGTGTAACTAGGCCACAACAGTCGTTAAAGGTATACTCGCTGTACTGGAGCCTTCAACTGTGTATTGTGTGTTATAGGTGTTTACTGATTGGTTAGTACTGTATTGTTTTATCACACACACACACGCAGTATACTTTGTGTATGCGGAAGTATGGAAGGAAATCATATAATTGTAATTGGTTATTTTGTGATGTTTGCTAAATTGTTATTGATTACAGTGTTTGTAATAGCCGCAGGGGTTTTATGTATAAGTTGAGCTGAAGGTTGGTGATTGCAAAGCTGTAAGGGAGTTAAGTGTGGAGTCAGCAGTGTGCGGCGATGGTATTGTCGAGGTATAGGTGGAAACTGGAGGACTGGCGCTAGCAACTCATCAAAACTCACCTGTTGTGACAAACATCGGTGAGACAGCAAGGTGAGGCTGGCGGGTGTGTTGTCCTGTGGTGACGATGGAGCCCAAGTTGTTATTAAACACAGTGTTGCATATCTTAAACAAAGAGTCTTGCGTATATAACCTCTATTACCACACGCTTCGTCGGGGATATAAATATTTAGTGAGGGGAGACGTGCCTGCCTGCCTGCCTCCCTCCTGCATGGGACCCGACCGTTCCTGCATGCTTGTGGTCATTACTCCTCCTCCTATCTCATAAATTGAAGGTTACTGATCAAATGGGCCCCAGTTTTAAGAGGCTCCAACCTGATTAAACCATTTAGATGGGGGTCTTAATCCTAATGATTACGTTAGGTTAGGTTAGGTTAGGTTAGGCTAGGCTAGGCTAGGCTAGGCTAGGTTAGGTTAGGCTAGGCTAGGCTAGGTTAGGTTAGGTTAGGCTAGGCTGGAGTTAATATACCGTACGACTGGTGTCCATTTGGTGTATTACGTATTTTAATCTTCATCTTGCCTCGCCTCCATCTCTACTCCCGCCTCCACTCTTGTGTCTCTTCCTCTCTTTACCACATTTTTCCCATCCTCTTCCCTTTATCTCCCCGTCTTCTTCCTCCTGTGTTCCTACTCTTGCCACATTCGCCGTGTGTTTACCTTTACTGTGTGGGGTTCGTCTTCCCTCTTACAACCTGCTCTTTTATCGCACTTCATTCTTGTCGCACAATTCTCGTGTTTGTGTTCCTGACCCGCTGTTCTGAGCCTCCATGGCCACCTGTCTTGATAAGGCTCACGCTGAAGGAACTTGCTCCCCGGTGCCCTTCCTAAATGCTTGCTGATTAATGCACCAACTTTTATTATTGTGTCGCCACTTTGAAGTAATTGGCCCCTTATTGTGTACTTGAATCTGTACTTACGCTTATAACTAGGAATATATATTGTTTGAATCAAAACTTAATAACGTGTGATTTGTATTATTTTGGTTGAACTTTAAAGAACCAATGGTCTTGTTGGATGGTGGGGAGAATGTAACTGGTTAGTGTTGTTGATATAACAGATCGGAAAGCAGGTGCCTGGCTTGCATACTGAGTTCTCTATGAATATTTACTGAGAGCTAACAGACAACCTTGATCATTTTGCTGACGAGAGAATGAAAGAAAGTTGTATGCAAATTGTTGTGTGTCATCTTGATATCTTGTGTGTGTTCATGTTGTCCAAACACCTGAGCGCTGTGTGCTGTTGTGACATCAGTAGTGAGTCTTGAGATGATAATGACGCTACATACCATACCATACTGTACTGTATATGGACTTTTACTTACAACCATTCTTATGTCCATACACTCATACATATAAACCTTCTTCCGTTTAACCTTCCACAGGTATGCTTACATATATACACCTTGATTTGTATTTCTCTCTCTAGTCTGTACTCACCCCTGAAGATGTGAATTACACGAAAGCGCTTGGGAACTTTGTATTTTCTTCTTTCCTTGTGGTTATATAGCAAAAAGGGCTAGCAGTGATATACAGAGAAAAGGACAAGCATGCACAAGCATGCATAATGTATTGATGCATACATACCAAGACCTCTTGCCTTTACTCCTATTTATTGATAAACATTGGCTTTCAAATGCAAGCAGAGGGAGGTGTTGTCAGTGAGTGGCATGAGGGTGTGCGTGTGTGTGGGCGGTGTCAGTGTCGGGTGAGTCTTGACGCCGGTGGTAAAGCACCGTAGATTCCCACGGTAAAAAATAAAATAAAAAGTCCACACACACACACACACACACACACACACACACACACACACGTACACACCACGCACACAGTAAAACACAGAAAATACAAAGTGTAAAAGACCACACAGATACCTGCAAAACCACCACACATGGCTGAAACACAATTGATGCTCACAGTAACGATCCCTGTGGAAAAACAACATAAAGTCCGAAGTAAAAGATCACAGAAGGGAGGTGTTTAGGACCACAGATACACCCCCCCACAGAACCCCACTCTCAGGAACCCCTCCCCCTCAGAAACCCACTTCTCAGGAACCCCACTCTTCCAGGAACCCCACTCTCAGAACCCCACCTTCTCAGGACCTCACCCTCTCAGGACCCCCCACTCCCCCAGGGAACCCACACTCCCTCTCAGGAACCCCATCTCTCAGGAACCCCACAGGAACCCCACTCTCAGGAACCCTCCCACTCTCAGACCCCACCTCTCTCAGGAACCCACCTCTCCAGGAACTCCCCTCTCAGGAACCCCATCTCCAATCCCCCTCTCAGGAACCCCATCTCAGGAACCTCACCTCTCAGAACCCCACTCCCTCTCTCAGGAACCCCACCCCCCCTCAGGAAACCCTCACCCCCCCAGGAACCCCACTCTCTCAGGAACCCCACTCCCCTCTCAGGAAACCCCACTCTCCCTCCTCAGGAACCCCACTCTCTCAGGAACCCCACTCCTCTCAGAACCCCACTCTCAAACCCCCCCTCTCAGGAACCCACCCCCTCTCAGACCACCTCTCAGGAACCCCACTCCCTCTCAGGAACTCCTTCAACCCCCTCTCTCAGGAACCTCCTTCACCTTCTCAGGAACTTCCCTCTCCAGAACCCCCCCTCCTCAGACCCCACCTTTCAGAACCCCTCAGGAACCCCACTCTCCACAACCTCCCCCTCTCAGGAACCCCACTTCCCTCAGGAAAATAGTACAGAACACACACACACACACACACACACACACACACACACACACACACACACATCCAGGATTAGAGTGTTCGTGGTCAGGTTATGTTTCGTCACAGCACTAGTTGATGGGGAGTTGCGACATCCACACCATCTTATAACCATACCATCTTTGCAACCACACCATTCTTGTAACCACACCATTCTTACATCCACACCATTCCTGCAACCACACAATCCTTGCAACCACATCATCCCACACCATCCTTGCAGCCACACAATCCTGCAACCACATCATCCTGCAACCACACCATCCCTGCAACCACACCATCCCAGTTCCATACCATCCCAGCACCAACCCCATACCACATATGCCGTCGTCCCCACGCCTACACCAGTCCCACGCCTACACCAGTCCCACGCCTACACCAGTCCCACGCTTACAACCCAGTCCCACGCTCCAACCAGTCCCACGCCTACACCAGTCCCACGCCTACACCAGTCCAACTCCACACCAGTCTCACGCCTACACCAGTTCGACGCCTCCACCAGTCCCACGCCCACACCAGTCCCACGCCTACACCAGTCCCGCCCACCACCAGTCTCACGCCCACCTAAGTCCCACAAACCATACCCAGTCCCAACAACACCAACTCACACTAACCCCACACCCACAGCAAATCTACAGTCAACATCCTACTATAACATCGAAACCTGTTGAGCTTCCCAGTTTACAGACATACAGACAAGCTCTCCCGTGCAGTGGCGGCGGTGGTGGGTTGCCGAGTGAAAGTTTGACACGACACGCGAGGTCACTCCTGCCTCTTGATAGGTGGGGGAAAAAATCAGCCCTTTGTATTTGACACGAATTTAAATGTGGGTAGTAATTATTAGTTGTTTTTATTTTTAGATTATATGTGTATTATTAAATTACCACCTCCTCCTCCTCCTGATTTAAAACCCTGACTGATATAATTATTAGGAATAGGGAACTAATTCACGACATATAGTTGAGAGATAAATGAATAAACCTTGACTTACTTGGTCATAAGAACCTAATCCTTGACACACACACACACACACATATATGCGAGAGGTATACTTAGGACTACAACCTGTTAACTCTGACTGATTATAAGAGTAACGAACGGCGACGTTGTTAATAAGAAGATACGGAAATAGCGTAATCGAAGCACCAAACAAAGATTTTAATGAATTGGCGCAGTCGAAGTATTTTTGGGCGAATTGGCAGAGAGAATAAGATTGAAACAATATGGTGAAAAGTCTGCTTAATTAAGAATGAAATCCTAAGGTGTAAAAAATAAGTGGCGTTGTAGAAGTATAAGACAATGTGGTTTCTTATGATGTTTACTGAAGTAGTATTAAGCTGTCTCGAGATGCCCTGGCGTGTTATGTGGTCCCGGGTCCTCACAGGTGGACAGTTGACATATAAAACTGTTTTGTTTCAGTAAGTTGTCGTTGTTTTGGGAAGCTTAGTGTTATTTTTATTATTATTATTATTATTTTATATTATTATTTTTATATATCACTATTAAGCTCATATACTAAACAAAAACAAAGGTCACATGTTATTATATATTATTATTATTAATTAATATTACAATTATTATTATTATTATTATTATTATTATTATTATTATTATTATTATTATTATTATTATTATTGTTTATTATTATTATTATTTATTATTATTACTATTACTATACATTATTATTATTATTATTATTATTATTATTATTGCTTCTACACAAAAGTGCTCAGTATGTAGTGTGTGACATTCAAACACATGCCGCCAGTCTCAGAACCTGCCTGACATGTTTTGATCTAAAATTGCGGATTACTCGAGAGAAAAATCACCATGAATGCGAAAGTAACAGATAAATAAATTTATTTTTGTGCAGCAGAGCGGAGTTGAAGTCTGTGTAGAGCCATAGTATTGTACCTGTATGAGTAGTGGTGACCTGTGGACCTACCTGGCAAGTGGAGCACGGGGACGAGTGAGTTAGTAATAATAATACTAAATGTCATGGTAATATTTATTATAGTACAGACTTATAATATATACGACCGCAAGTATTAAAAATAACTTTACGCAGGATGAAGATCTCTATACAAACAAAACAAACGATAAGAATGATCATTACTTAGGATTAGGCAGATAGCTACAGGTGTGATAGGAGTCGCCTTAAAAACCACCTGGACAACACACACAATTCCAGAAGAAGAAGCCTGAACAATGCTCCTGTATTCGAAGTAAGAGTATGGACCCAGTTCTGCTACTGCCTGAGTTAGTAGAGCTTCTTAGTACAACACTCACTATACTATATTGTTAGGGTTCTCGGTCACCACCTCTTTAGTTAATATGCTGGACGTTAAGAGTGTCTCGAGAACATCCAGGCGATTACATTTGTTACTTAACGCTAACGATAACTTGTTGAGCAATATTATTATTATTATTATTAGTAGTAGTAGTAGTATTAGTATTAGTATTAGTATTATTTAAGCTGCTAGTATTATTAGAAGGATCATTCTCTTTGAATTCACATCATAGTGCAGTATCAAACTGTGTAGTGTACTGACAATTATAACACCTCTCTACCCTCCTCCCCATAATAATACGTTTAGTGACAGTGTGTTCTTAGCCGGTGTAAATAATATAGTGCGCGTAACGTAGCATGTTTTACCAGATTATGCGAGTGAGCTCAGAAATCTTTGGAGAGGAGGAACGCCTGTGTCCAGGTTGATGGGAAAACATGCTTATATATAATCCAAATGCTAAATGTAGTGTAACGCAATGTTGGTAGTGTTAGTAATGGTTGCAAGTGGTAGCACGGTGGCGGAGTGTGTACGTAGTAAGTGATGGTGGCTGTGTGCCGCAGTAATGATGCAGGTTGTGCTGTTAATGGTAGTACGTGATGGTGGTAGTGTTGGTACAACAAGGCGACAGGTTGTGTGCTGGAATGGTGAGAAAGAAAGTTGGCAATTATGCAGTAAGTGTGATGGTAGTAAAAGCTGTAAATGAAGCAACGGCGGTGATGGTTGTGCGACGGTAACGGTAAGGAAATAAGCAATGTGATGGTGGTTGTGTGCTTGGTACCCATAGTGGCGATGGCGGTCAGTTTGGCAATGCGGTTGCGTGACGGCACGGTGGCAACTGCAGTGTGATGGCGGTTGCGTATTGGCATAAAGGTGTTGTTAATGGTGGTAGTAAGTGAATAATGGTGGCGGTGTCGGTAATGGTATAGTAAGTCAGTAATGGTCGGTAGTGTGATAGCAATGAAAGCAAGAGTGTTACGGTAATGGTGGGCAGCGTGGTGCTTGAATATGCTTATTGGTATGGTCAACTTAGCAGACGGCGATGAAGTTGGTCAGAAGTTTGTGGCGGCTGTAATTGTGGCGGCAGATAGCTATTGCAGTGGTGGTGGCAGATGCTGTTGTAGCAGTGGTGGCTAGTAATGGTGGTGGTGTTATTGTCGGTAGCGGCATGACTGTAATGGCGGTATAATAAAGTTACCATAGTGGTGGCGGTGATTGCGGATTGTAATGGTTATAAAGATGGAAGTATGCGCACGATGATTTACAATAATGGTAATGATAGTTGTAGTGGTGGTGGCGATAGTAGTTGTGGTGGTGGTGATTGTTAATTATTGTACAGTATTTTTTGATGAATGTTATAAGAAAAGTTACTGTGTATATTATTGGTGTTTGTGATATGAATAATCTTGGTGTCGGTGTTTTAATCGGAGAGGAAAGTGTAGTAGAAATGATGGTAGGGTTGTATAGGAGAGTTATCTGGAAACATAAGCTTTAATGAGTGTATGTCTGTCTTGGTAATCCCGGTGTTGTTGACTTTGGCTCCCGGTGTTGTCTTTGGCTTCTGGTGTTGTTGTCTTTGCCCCGGTGTTTTCGTCTTTGGCTCCCCGGTGTCGTCTTTGGCTCCCGGTGTTTTCGTCTTTGGCCCCAGTGTTGTCGTCTTTGGCCCGGTCGTCTTTTCGGTGTTGTTGTCTTGGCTCCCGGTGTTTTCCGTCTTGGCCCCGTGTTGTCGTCTTGGCTCCCCGGTGTTGTCGTTTTGCCCCGGTGTTTCGCTTTGGCCCTGCGATTGTCTTTGGCTCCCGGCGTCGTTCGGCCCCGGTGTTTCGTCTTGGCCCCAGTGTTGTCGTCTTTGGCCCCGGTGTTGCTGCTTTGGTCGGTGTTTTCGTCTTTGGCTCCCGGTGTTTTCGTCTTGGCTCCCGGTGTTGTTCGTTTGGCTCCCGGTGTTTTCGTTCTGGTTCAGTGTTGTCGTCTTTGCCCGGTGTTGTCGTTTTGGCTCGGTGTTTCGTCTTTGGCTCCCGGTGTTTTTGTCTTTGGCTCCGGTGTCGTTTGGCTCCCAGCGGTCCTTTGGCTCCAGTGTTGTCGTCTTTGGCTCCCGGTGTTGTCGTCTTTGGCTCCCGGTGTTGTTGTCTTTGGCTCCCGGTGTTTTCGTCTTGGCCCCGGTGTTGTTGTCTTGGCTCCGGTGTTGTCTTCTTCCGGTGTTGTTGGCTTTGGCCCCAGTGTTTTCGTCTTTGTTCCGGTGTTGTCGTTTTGGCTCCCGGTGTTGTCGTCTTTGCCCCGGTGTTGTCGTCTTTGGTCTCCGGTGTTGTCGCGTCTTTGGCCCCGGTTTTGGCCCCGGTGTTGTCGTTTTGCCCCGGTGTTGTCGTCTTTGGCTCCGGTGTTGTCGTCCTTTGGCTCCCGGTGTTGTCGTTTTGGTTCCCGGTGTTGTCTTTAGCTCCCGGTGTTTTCGTCTTGGCTCCCGGTGTTGTCTTGGTCTGGTGTTGTCGTTTTGGCTCGTGTTGTCGTCTTTGGCCCCCGGTGTTATCGCTTTGGCCCCGGTGTTGTCGTCTTTGGCCCGGTGTTGTCGTTCTTGGCTCCCGGTGTTGCTCCTAGTCTTATACCGTCTCCTAAATTCCCCGGTGTTGTTGTCTTGGCTCCACCCAAGCTAGTAATCCCATAATGATCGCCTGTTAATATATTTGGGTGATATATATATATGAAGATTAACCACATTAAATATATAATAGAATAAGCTTAAAGTATTATATTAGCGAAGAAATACTATTTATATTAAAACATTTATTCACAAAATATATTATTGAGCCTCAACTTAGCAGTGTGTGTGTGTGTGTGTGTGTGTGTGTGTGTGTGTAAGTTTTGCACTGATCCGTATGTTAAAACAAAGGTCTTTTAAAGTTTGTACCCAAATAAATTTTCTCTAAACTACCAACTTAACCAAACCAATGTTGTATTTAACATTAATATTGCAGACTGGCTGCTGGCGACTGACGTTGCAAGTCTTAATGGTGAATCCTTCCGTCCAGGTGGGGAAGCGGTAATTGTCCTCACCACATATTAACAGTGTTGTACGCAAAGCAGCCGTGTGACGATGGGCGGGTTGGTACCGCCGGTGCCCCGTGCTTACTGCTACGTGCCTCGGTTAAATGTATGTTATTATGATTTAGCTGTCCAACGCGCATTATTAGTACGAGGCTCGGAGGATTCATGAGCGTATACCATCGTTTATTAAAGAGTCTAGAGCTACGTTTGAACTATGTATTACGCCATTGATAAGTGAATTGTCGAG